TACACAATCCTTATGTTTGATCATTATTAGGGGATTATAATTAATATAACATCTAATCCTTATGTTTGATCACATATTATTCAAACTTGGCATGATTAAAAATTGATTTAGCTAGGGCCTACCTTAGATGATTTCACATGTTAAGCAAAAGAGATTAAATCATAGTTAGGTCGTGATCTTAATTTTATTTTCTTGATTGAATTATTTATTTTCTCACACTTTAACAAGGGACGGACCAAGTCTCTAGATAATAGAACTATTTGTGAATTAATATATTTAAACTATTTGTGAATGGAATTAGTGAGGAGTGCCATGAGATATGTTTCAATTATTTTATCCAACAATTAAAAAACCATATATAACTAGTACAACGCCCGTGTATTACACGGGTGCTTGCTAATTTTTTCTTTAAAATAAAAAATTATTGAGAAAAAGTAGTTGAAAATTTAAATAACTTTTATAAAAATATATATTATTATATATTTAGTATGACACTTTTTATTTGTGTGACTTACTTGTGTTATATTATAATAATTTTTTTAACTTACAACATATAACTACATTAAACAAAAATATATCAACTGAGAAATAATTTTATTTTCTAATAAAATTTAATAAATGTTATTTTTTATTATTATAAAGGTAAATATTATTATTTAATTTATATATACAATATGGATGTCAAATCAAAGATAATGAAAAGATGATTAATTTGATATATTATATATGTAAAACCGATAAGAAATACAAAAGTTATCAACTTTTAAAATACTTTTATAATTCAATAGCTAATTGAGGGAAACAAATCAAAAGTCAGAGATATATTAGTCACTTAGTGTCTCACTATGTAAAATTACAAAGAATTAAAGGGTTATATTAGTACAAGTGATATTAATTACCTAAGTCAGCTAAATAATATTTATGGAATATCCGAACCTAGATATTTATTGTTAATATATCAATATTATTTGTCCGAACCTAATTACGAAGCATGATTCTTTGCCAAGTAGGATTCTGAAGCACCAGAAGCAGCCACATAGGCTCAGCGCATTTGGGAATTATATATAGCTAAATAATATTTATGGAATATCCGAACCTAGATATTTATTGTTAATATATCAATATTATTTGTCCGAACCTAATTACGAAGCATGATTCTTTGCCAAGTAGGATTCTGAAGCACCAGAAGCAGCCACGTAGGCTCAGCGCATTCGGGAATTATATATAGGGGCGATTTTCATTTATTTCAGTTTTTTTTCTCATTATTCTACTTGTATTTATTTTATAATTTTCAAATTAAATATCAGTCATTTGTACACCTTTATTTATATAGATACACCTTTATTTATAGAATTTACTGTCGTCAACTCATATATATTTTTTTTTTTTTTAGTTCGATGAATGTATTTTTTTCAACATCATATCCTAATATATATATTCTTTTATACAAATATGTAGTTTTGTTTGAAAAATATAAATCCGGATAATATGATTTATATAGTGACATTTAAAATATTGCCATTAAATTCCAAACCTAACACAATTACATAGAAATAGTCCGGCAAAATTACATTTTTAGTACTCTTGGTTTAATGTTGTAGCATTTTTAGTTCCAAGATTTTAATTTATTTTTTCTTTTAATCTTGTAATTTAGTATTTTGCTGCAATTTATGATTTTCGGGACTTAAATTGCAACAAAATTTAAAAATGTCGAGACTTAAATTGCTAATAAAAAATCCATCCAATTTTTTTTTTTATTAGCAATTTAAATCATGTAATTTTAATTTTTGTTGCATTTTCAGTCTCGAAAGATCAAAATTGCATTGAATTTTAAAATTATATGACCGAATACTAAAAATGTTCAAGAATCAAACAAATAGACTAAAATTGCAATTTTGCTACTTCAGTCCTTCGGTCTTATCCACAACTCACAAATGATCTTCTTCCTCGTTACAAAAAGGACCAAAAAAATGAATAAATTGACTGACTGATAATATAGAGTTTTATAAATTATATCCATAACCCATAAACTCCCCTTCAAATCACCAACTCCTTCCTCAAAATCCCAGCTTGTGAACGAATCCATGTTCTTATTTTGTGCTCTGAGGTTCCTAAACACACACATTCTTTTGATTTTCAATAGGAACTTTTTGCAGCATCTTTCTTCAAACCCACCTTCAAAATTCAAGATTTTGTGATTTTCGAATTGGTTTTTTTTTTTTTTTTTCCTAATTTGCTAATCATGTTGTCAAGATCCTATTTTAATCTCTTGAACCTCGAGGATTACTCGAGGGATCGCACTCGGGTCCCGCGAGTGATTTCTATGCCGGGGGTCATTTCCGATTATGAAGACGGTGAGAACGCCCTGAGCCCACAATCCGACTCGTCTCCTCAAGAGAGACGAGTAATCGTGTCCAATCAGTTACCCCTAAAGGCCCGCTGTGAGAATTCGGCACAAGGCCCCAAAAAATGGAGCTTTGATTGGGACAAAGATGCTCTTGTTCTGCAGCTCAAGGATGGCTTCACCTCAGACGTGGAGGTTGTCTATGTCGGGAGCCTGAGCGTGGAGATTGAGCCGGCGGACCAGGATGACGTAGCTCAGCTTCTTCTAGATAAGTTCAAATGTGTGCCCACTTTCTTGCCTTTGGATTTAATCAACAAGTTCTATCATGGCTTTTGCAAGCATTACCTGTGGCTCTTGTTTCATTACATGTTGCCTCTGACTCCTAGCCATGGGATCAGGTTCGATAAGTCCGCGTGGCAGGCCTACGTGTCAGCTAACAAGGTTTTCGCCGATAAAGTCATGGAGGTTATCAACCCGGACGAGGATTATGTCTGGGTGCACGACTATCATCTCATGATTTTGCCTACTTTCTTGAGAAAGAGGTATCACAGGGTAAAGCTCGGTTTTTTTCTCCACAGCCCTTTCCCCTCTTCGGAGATTTATCGAACTTTGCCCGTTAGGGAAGAAATATTGAGATCCCTTTTGAATTGTGACCTGGTCGGGTTCCAAACGTTTGATTACGCCAGGCATTTCTTGTCGTGTTGTAGTAGAATGCTCGGGCTGGATTACCAATCCAAGAGGGGGTATATCGGGCTGGATTACTATGGCAGGACGGTTAGTATCCGAATCCTTCCTATGGGGATTCATATGGGTCAGATTATGTCTATTATGTCGTTGCCCGATACTGCAGATAAAGTTAGAGAATTGAAAAAGAAATACAATGGGAAAATTGTGTTGTTGGGTGTGGATGATATGGACATGTTTAAGGGCATCAGCTTGAAGTTCATGGCTTTCGGGCAGTTGCTGGATGAAAATCCCATTTACCGTGGGAAAATCGTTCTTGTTCAGATCATGAACTCTCCCAGGAGTCGAGGTAATGATATTCAGGAGGTTCAGAATGAGATCAGTAGTGTAGCGAACGAGATTAATCAGAAACATGGAAAACCGGGCTACCATCCGATCGTCTGTGTAAACGGTCCCATGTATTTTCAAGAAAAAGTCGCGTATTCTGCTATTTCTGAATGTGTTGTTGTGAATGCCGTTAGGGATGGGATGAATTTGGTGCCTTATAAGTATACAGTCTCTAGACAGGGCAGTCCCGATTTAGACAGGGCACACGGGTTCGAAAATTCGGATAATCTAAAGAAAAAAAGTGTCATTATTGTATCGGAATTCATCGGTTGTTCCCCTTCTCTAAGTGGTGCAATTCGTGTCAATCCTTGGGACACGAATAGTGTGGCCGAAGCCATGGTTTTGGGGCTAACTATGCCCGACTCTGAAAAACAGTTACGTCACGAAAAGCATTACAAGTTCATTACTTCTCACGATGTTGCCTATTGGGCCAGAAGCTTCGATCAGGATCTGAAGAGGGCGTGTGCTGAGCATTTCAAGAAGAGGTGTTGGGGAATTGGGTTCGGTTTGAATTCGAGGGTAGTTGCGTTGGGTCCTAATTTTAGGAAGCTTTCGGTCGAGCATATAGTCTCAGCTTATAACAATACGAATATCCGACTTATACTTTTGGATTATGACGGTACCATGATGCCGCAGGATAGAGTGGACAAATCCCCCAGCTCCGAGGTTATTTCGGTCTTAAATTGTTTGTGCAGTGATCCGAAGAATGTCGTGTTTATTGTTAGTGGGAGAGGAAAAGATTCACTCGGCAAATGGTTCGAGCAGTGTGAGAATCTCGGGTTGTCTGCAGAACACGGTTATTTTACTCGGTAAAGAATATTTTTACAATAATTATACAAGGAGCCACTTATCTAGGCCAGGTTTGGTAAAACTAGCTGTGATAGTTGATAAGTAATTTTCGAGCTTATAGCTTATTACTTATAGCCGAAAAGCTAGCTTACATGATAAAGTGTTTGGTAAAATTAGTTGATATTGTAGCTGAAATAAAAATTCCAACGAGCTTATCTGAAAAGCTACCCAAAGAGAAGCTTATGAGATAAACTTGAGCTTTTTAAAAAAACTCGTCCTACCAAACGAAGCTTATTTGAATTCAGGAAGCTTATAAGCTAATCAAATAAGCTATAAGCTAGCTTATTTTCTTACCAGACATAGCCCTAATCATATTTGTTTTTTGTTACATGTTTTGGCTGATCTTGTTTATTATATTTGTTATTTGATTAGGTGGAGAAGAGATTCGCAGTGGGAGTGTTGCCGATTAGCAGTCGATTTGGATTGGAAGAAGATCGTGTTGCCCATAATGGAGCACTACACAGAAGCTACAGATGGCTCGTCAATAGAGCAGAAAGAGAGTGCTATTGTTTGGCATCATCAAGAGGCGGATCCTGATTTTGGCTCATGGCAGGCAAAAGAGCTTCTTGATCACTTGGAGAGTGTGCTTGCTAATGAACCAGTTGTGGTGAAAAACGGACAGCAAATAGTCGAGGTGAAACCACAGGTATAAATTATAAGAATACCCTCATGCCTCAAGACAACATTATATGATATTCGAATGATTTGTCGGTTCAAAATACGGGATAAAGTAGAAAATTTTTACCTTCATGTTTAGCTTAGTTTCGATAAAAAAAACCGTTGTCAAACGTGTCTATTTCAGTTTTCACAAACTTTTGCTACTGGTTTAATTTAGACTAATTATTAGAAAAGGCAAACTACCCTTAATAAAAGGCAAGATGTACATAATCCACTGATTTTTTTTTTCTTTTTGGTTAGTTATATTAACATTTAACAGAAATTAAACAAAATCACCATTTTCTATGAATAGTTTCCTTACTTTCTATCATATGGTAGTTTTTATTCATAATCATCTCTTCAAAAGATACCCTATCCTTTTCACAATCGAGCTAAAGCTAAACCTCGTGGTCTGTTTTTGTAACTAGCTGTCCGAAATTTTGTCCATTTGCCTTAAAAGTTCCATATTCATCGTCTTTTTTTTTTTCTTGCTAGGGAGTGAGCAAAGGGTTGGTCGTGAAGAATCTCACCGAGAGAATGACGAACAAGTCGAAGCCGGCCGATTTTGTCCTGTGCATTGGTGATGACCGCTCGGATGAAGAGATGTTCGAAACTATTTCAGGTTCTGTTGCTGACCGTTTGCTTCCCGAAACAGCCGAAGTTTTTGCTTGCACAGTCGGGCGAAAGCCAAGCATGGCCAAATATTATCTAGACGATACTTTTGAGGTCATCAAAATGCTTCAAGGACTTTCTGCCTCATGCGGGCAGCAACTGCCCAAGCCATCTTTCGATAGCGTGTCGTTCTAAGGGTGCTGAGGTTCGGCTTTTTTTTTTTCTCTTTTTTCTTTTTTCAAAAGGTAGTTTTGCTCGAAAAAATGGAAGAAAATACAACTTTAGCATACAGATGATACATAATGTGATTATGAGTCGTGTCGACTGTTGTTGGATGTTTTAGGCAATGGATACTAGTATTAAGGTTCGGTTGGAGGTTCAAAAATTTCGTAGGAGAAGTGATATTAGGATTTTTCGAGCTTTTTGTTAATACTGGTGTCTTTACAAGGGACTGTCAATGGACATTGACACTGATAAAGTTGGTTGGTTGGGGCAAGCGAAGTTCCATATCGGTTAGATATGAGGCTCGTCGTTAATTTTTTAGTAAAAACTAGTGCTGTTATAATTAAAGGAGTCTGACTCAGCTCAGCTCGTTAAGCTTAACTAGTCAAGTTCGAGCTCGTTTAAAACTTGTTTGGTTAACTCGGCTCGAAAAGAGAATTCTTATACAATTTTCTATAGTTCAACTCGTTGAAGCTCGAGATCTGCTCGTCAATGCTCGAACTCGGCTCGTTAATAGTGATAAATGAGTCTAGCTCGAGTTCCATTTATGGCTAGTTTATTTAACGAGTCGAGTTCGACTCGGCTTGTTTACAAACCTAGGAAATACGCACATGTTTTTAGTACGTGGCGTTACGGGTGAGCTCAAAAACGAAATGGTGAAAAAGTTCGAAACTATCAATTGTTTTGTTGTGTTTTAGGTGTGATTTTCTATGACCTATGTATGAATATCAAGGTTATGTTTTGCAAAATATTGATCTGTAGTCTAAAAGCATTTGAAACTATGACAATACTTTTTAAGTATGAGAAATTTTAATATTTTTCCAATGTTGATAATTTGATTGAGTTTCTTGGCAAATCAAGATGCAAATTAATGTAATTTTAACTTTTAAACTTTGGTTTTCACAAAACTGAACAACCACACGTTGGTATGAGAAAAAATAGATGTAAGCTAATATTAAGTCATAATTTAGGGTCTTTGTATTGTGTTTACAAAAGTTATGGGCTGAGATATGATACTATACACGTTGGTTTTGAAAATGAAAGGTAAAGAGGTGTAAACGAGTCGTGCTTAAGTTACTGCGACTTGAACTCAAGTTTGAGCCCAAGTTTGTCTCGTTAACAAAAGGAACCAATAAACAAACTGAAGTTTGGCTCGCTCGAGTCTCAACAAATTGAGTTATAATTGTTCGGCACTTGTTTTTCCAAGAAAATTAAGGTTTTGAACTTATTATGTTAACTTGGTTTGTTAAGTTTTGTTAATATTGACAAAAAAACTCAAGCCCAAGCTTGTTTCTCACTCATTTAGTTGATCAAAAGCTCGAGTTCGGCCAGTATACAGCTCTAGATGCGTTAAACTAGTAAACGAGCTGTGTTGAGCTTTAGCTCGAGCCATGGACCCTTTATCAGAGCAAACGGAGCAAGATGGACTCATTAACTAACCGAGAATTAAATGAACTCGGCAAACGAGTCGATTTATCGTCTCGTATTGTTTAACATCTCTATGCGCCACAAATTTGTAAAATTGCACTTTGTCGAAAACACCGGAATTATCGATACGACCCAATGTACTGTTGGACTTGGTGTAAGCACCACCAGAAAATTGTGTGGGCTTTTCCTTTTCATATAGATTTACTTAGCATTGAGGATAAATTTGAGAGTGTAAACGCATTAATGTTAGAACTTAGACGGATTAATTATTTATATTAATTTTTGATTAAAATGTATGTATATCTTATTAAACATCATATTTATTGTATGTTTTTCTAACTATATCTTTAAAGTTTGAAAATGTCAACTACTTATGGTGCATTAATTATTATGCTCTAAATCTATCATTATATAAAAAGAATAACTTTTTTATAAATTTAGAAACAATTTCCTGCCAAAATTATTAATTACATACTAAAAATAGCATAATTAAAAAAAATTTAGTTAACTAAATGTCTATAATTATCTCAATACAACACCTTTTTAATTTTTGAAAAGAATCCCTATTCATATGGATTCTTTCAATTATTTTTGGTATATTAAAACAAAGCGAGATTGTCTATTTGATTCCCAAAAAAAAAAAAAAAATCAATAGCAATAATTTCGTAATTATTAATAAATATTTAGTGCAAATAATTTATATGCATACATAATTTTTTATTTAAGTTAATGTAAAACCAATAGTTGATCTAAATCTATTGATTAAAATTTTCAAAAATTTTCAAAAAAAATTTCAATCAATTACTTTATTTCTACCTATTTTATTTTTATTTTTATTGATATGCTACCATAAGATTTGAAGAAACATTGGTTAATAAAATTAAATTTTTGTAATTTAATTCTAGAAAATTAGTTGATAAATTTGAACGATAAAGTAACCGACAACAACTCTAGAAAATTACGAGATTATATATATAATATATTCATATATTAAATATATAAGGGAATTTAGTGTGTAGTCCATATTTGAGTTCCAAATTCATAAGTCAAATAAGTAATTATGCATAACTTACAAGTCAACATTAATTTTGACGACGTAAATGAAATAGTCAATTATTCATTGTTTAATAAATTACTCAACCACTTCAATTTTTTTATTTGAATACTTTATATAAAAAACAAAATAATCTAATTGATGAAACAATATAAGATTTATAGTTATAGTATTATTCACATATATTTTTAAATAGACGAGAAAAATTTACAACTTATCTATAAATTCGATTTAAAAAATTTGATTGTATTTTTTTATTCCAAACAATCATATTGCCGAAAAATTTTCCTTAGAACTTGAATTGAAAATTTGAAATTAAAAATCCATTCTCATTTTAGTTGCCATAAAATTAAGTTTAATTCAAAATCTCTTCATAATATAAAGAATTTTATTCAAATTGAATTTAAAAATATCTAATCACATGCTTCTATCCATATCCTTAAACGAAGGATTTTATGTCAATTTAAAATTAAAAACCGCTTGGAAATTATAAAATCATAATGGAGCTCCATTTTTTTGGTTTCAATCCGCACGAAATTCAAATTGGTTTGAGAATTCAAATCAACTGAAATTAATCTCTGTAATTTTTTTTTTCCATAAGTTTCAAAATTTACAATAATCAAGTCAAATTACAAATGCATTGTTTCAAAAATCAAGAGGATAATATTGAAAATAGACATTTTTTTTTATATATAAATTGTCTTAGTCACCATTCAATATAAAATAAATCTCATTTTATTTATAAAATTGATAAATCTACAAAAAATGTGAAATTTGATGCCTACAAAATTTCTTTTTACAGTAACTAAAATAATAATAATAATTTTGAAATCTTTTGTACTCAAATTGTTTTTACCCGTGCATCGCACGGGATACACACTAGTGTATCATGAATTAAAAAAAAAAAAATTGCGTGTTCTTTGTTTCTTTACATTTTACCAATAGTCAAAGTTCTTCTACACTAGTACTTTTTACTCTACATTAATATTTATATTTCATTTTCATTATTTTAAATCAATTTTAATATCAATATTATTATTTACTTAAATATATTATCTTACACATTTATTTATTTATTTATTTATTTGAACAATAAGAGAGGCTAAAGCCTTAAGAGATCAAATTACACACGTTCCGTGAGTATGTAACACCAATGAGATCGTGTTCTAGCCATGGACACACACTGTTTGGTGGAACGGTAAATAAGTGATACCCCAAAGACCCATCCGCTGCGAAGGAAGCCAAATGATCGGCAGCAAAATTCACCTCACGGAAAACATGTTTCACCTTAACCAACCACGATCGACTGAGAAGCTCTCTAATACCCAAGATAAGACCAGTGTGAACGCCCAACACATTATCCACATTATCTTACACATATTTAATTATATAAATTATCAATATATGATTAAAAAAAAATACAATATATGTCAAAATTAATCTCTTACTTATATGTATGTCAATATTATTATTTTATTTAGTAATATAAATTACAAGAAATAAATTTCAAATTAAATTACAATCAAATTATCAATTTTTAATAATTTACAGAATTATATATAAAAACGTACATAAAAACATTATATTTCAACCAAAAAACAAAATAATATAGTGATGGAACTCTATACAAAACAAATTTTAAAATTGATATTCAAAAAAAAAAAAAGTTTAAAATGAGCGCAGATAAATACTCCTGCGCGCGCTACGTACTCTTACAAAAATAAAGTCACATCTTTTAACGCGCATATGCAATCACGTCACCTCTTTCTCAACAGGCTCACATTCTTTCGCGTGCAAAGCTCCCCTTCATTAAACTATAGGGAAATGTTACGGTCTCGTAACAATTTCATCGGAATTTGTAACCGTTAGATCAATTAACTCCGACGTTTATATGATGATTTAACAAATACAAACATGGACAGAACAATTTGGTAAGGAGACATGTGCATGCAATAACGTCATCTTATACTCATTAACCTATTCATTAATCTATCCTTTAAGCTCACATGTGCATGCAATAACGTCATCTAATTGTCAAGACCACACCACACCCAAAACCAAAAAGTAAAGCTAATGCATGCAAGTTATTTGACAGCGACATTCGTTATGTCATAAAATAAACCAGCAAGAAGTAATAATCAGAAACAGTAAACTCTCATAAAATAGGAAAATGCTACGGTCCGTTACGGAGCCATTCCGTTGGGGTTTGAACCGTTAGATCATCATGTAACCGTCGGGGATAGTTGATCTAACGGTTACAAACCCCGATAGAATAGTTACGGAGCCATTCCGTTGGGGTTTAAACCATTAGATCATCATGTAACCGTCGGAGATAGTTGATCTAACGGTTACAAACCTCGATAGAATGGTTCCGTAACGGGACCGTATCATTTCCCCATAAAATAACTGATACAAGAAAAAAAAAAATAATCAAAAACCGTAAAAGTCAGGGTGGAAAAAAGGAAGGCCACATCATCTTTTATCCATCCATCACACATAATTTACAATAATTTAATTAGTACTCCAAATCGAAACGTAAAAGATAACGGAACCCAAAATCCAAAAAACCAAACACACACAAAGGAAAGGACCAAAAAAATAACACACACAAAGGACCAAAAAATAAATAAAAATAACACTCATTCGGTACTTTTTTATTCAACTCTTCCACGCCTTCCTTCCAAGCACACTTCTACGTATTTATAAAACCGCCCCAACAAAACTTTCTGAGATTTCAAAATCTCACCTCCCTACACCAAGATGTTGTTCGGCAGCCAGTCCACATTCTCCCTGCTCTTCTTGCCCCGGCAGCTCGAATCCGACTCCACCACCAGCCGGACCACCATGCTCCTCCTGTCTCTGGTCGGCAGGCGCTGCTTCAACTCCTCGAAACTCGGTCCCACCACCCCTTCCACCCACTTCTCCAAGCTCGTCTCGTCGTGCCACAGTCCCCCCAATATCTTATCCGCCACATCATCCCCTATCTCGATCTCCACCTCATCTCCCCCCACTTCCTCCGAGAACCTATCCGCTATCTTCTTCTTGATCTCCCGGCACACGGCTTCCGCCTCGACCGGCCCGAACACAACCGAGTCGTCCACAATGTTCGCCAGGTCGTACGGCAGCGCCACCATTGAGAAAACCCCGTCCATATCCCCCGCCTCATCATCATCACCACCTCCTTCCACCGCCTTCTTCTTCACGTCGCTCGATTCTTCCGGCCCTTCCTCGTACGATATCCCCAGATTTAGCTCCAGCCTCGGCCTCATCATCCGCGTGGCCCGCCCGTCGTGTGAGGCCCGCCGCTTGCCGGCCACAATCTTCTCCCGAACAATCAGCCCCAGCTGCCAGCACCCGCCAGCTGTTGAATTCGCCTTCCGCTCGTCGACAAACTGCCCATCACGTAAGGCTTCGTCGCTAATCATCGACCAGTCGCCGGTGACAATGAAAACCGCGCTCCCAAGACCGACCTCACGGCCATGGGAGTCGGCGAGCCGTCCGTGGTCGATCGCTCGTTTTATGTTCCCACGCACGATCTTGTCCGCCTCATCGATGTCCCGAAGCATGATCACCGAGCACGGGTTCCGGCGAATGGCTTCCACGATCCGGTTGGCCGCCGTGCGGCCACGCACGCTGCTTTCGGGCTCGTAGGGCTCGTCGTCCTCCCGATTCGGGCCGAGGCAGATGATAACCGGGCCCGACCCTGATATCTGCTCGGCCAAAACGTACGCCATCTTGCGCTTCGCGACCCGGTCGGGCCCGGCAAACAGCATCCACGAGTCGTTCCTTCCACAGCCACGCTGCTTGCCGTTGCCCAGGCGGCAGCGCATGATGGCAGTGGCCACGGCTGAGGCGGCGTCTGCCTGCCACCAGGCATTCTCCATCAGGCCGTTAAGGAGGTTCTTGTGCGTGCCGGCGTCCAGGTGGAGGGAGAATTGTGGCTCGGACGAGATGCAGCTGAGCAGGTCTTTGGCCGGAAGATCCTCGGCGAGTTGCTCCGGGAACTGGGTTCCGAGGACAAGGTCCGTGAGAACGGGGCTCGTTGGGCGGGCCGGTGTGGCGGTTTGGGGCGTGACTGGGTCGATGCTCAGCTGCAGGTCTGAGGCCACCACCGGGTTAGACCGGCGCACATTAATAGGCTGCAAAGGGGGAAACTCGAGCAAGTTTGGATCATAAATGCTCGTGGGCAGGGTCATTTGATGAAAATTGGGATGTAGATACAAGCACGTGTTTGTCCATTTTTTCTGCAAATCTTGATCCTTTTCCTGTAAACATATTGACATTTCCTGTTTGGATTGAGATACCGACTGCTCTATGGCTGCAAATTTCACTAGATCTTTTTGGTAATTCACTGAGCACTGAGGGCAGAAGGTGGGTTTTTGAGCAGGATCTAAATTTTCAGTCACGAGCCTTCTTGCTAAACCAGGTAAAGGACTCGGAGTAGGTTGAATTTGAGCAGATTCCAAGTGATCTCCAGGTGTACGCAATTCTAAAGTAGGTAACGGACTAGGTATAGGCTCCAAGGGGTTGCTCATGATCCTCTCAGGTCCAAGCCTGCAAATACAATAATCAACAATCAACAAAAATAATTCCGACACATAAACTTGACGACTGACCGATCAAAATAATTTGCTTCAACTGAAAATTTCACTTGTTAAGATCAACTACAAAAGTAGAGATCATCAAAACTTCCTTTGCTTTCACAGATCATGTTGGGAAATATATGAAACAAGACAAAGTTTCATTTTCAGATGCAACTGTTATTCAGTGGCAACTAAGTAAACAATACCAAATATTTCGATTCCCATAAAAAAACACATTACAATACCTCGGGAACATTCGTGGAGTAGGAGAACTCGACGTAATAGTCACGGTCTGCAAACCCCAGTCACTCTCCATGGTAGGATGATAAACCATGCACTTTGTATATGTGTCGAAAGTTGCGGTCCCAATCAACCAGAGCCTATTACCCTCATGTTGAACTCCATCTGCACCACCAAAACTTGCCAGCAGCTTCGAAATCTCCACCACCACGGCACGTCGGGCCTCAGGCACAACCGGTCCATTCAGTAGCTGCTGGGCCCCACTGGAACTTGCACCCTGCTCCGGCTGCTCCACCAGCCACCTCAAGTCCCCAAGATCAAGAATCACACCACCTTTCACAATTCTGCTCTCAATCATTCTTCCAAATTCATTCACCTTTGAGGCCATTAGATTAATATCATACAAAGGAAGATATTTGTCTATTGGTATTATCTGAGAATCCTTCAAATTCAGATCATTACCGAATTCGTTATTTCTTATTTTACTGAAGAATCCCTTGGTCACGGCCTCAGGCTCCGAAATCCCCATCAGAATCGGGTTTCTATTTTTGTTGCTAGACATTATATCAAACACCTTTTGCACTTCCTCGTCTAAACGTTTCCCAATATGTGCTGTGGGTGTCTGAGGCTGATGTTGCAGGAGCGGATTCACGTAGAAGCTCCGACTGGACTGAGTCACCGGAGTCGGGATTTGGCCGGAATTCAGGATCGTTCTTTGAGCGTTTCCACCGATATCCACCCCGGAATTCGTACTCCCGATACGTAGCTGATTTGCGCGCCTGTTGGAATTTTTCAACGACTGCTCGACGGAGGCCTTCACGGCGTTGCTGGAGAACTTGGCCTCCCTCATCACGCGGCTCACGGTGGGATCGTCGAGTATCGAGATTATCAGCTGCTTGAGCTCGACCTTCACGGCGAGGACCGGATGCTGCTCCTGGCACGCGCGCCGCTGGCGTGCTTGCGCCCTCTTTAGAGCCGCCAAAAGCGCGTTGGAGACCGGTGGCTCCGTCGGCGGCGGCGCGCCGTCCTCCGCGCCCTGACCCGTCGTCGCCGGCAGTCGGTCGAGCGCCACGCCGAAGCAGAGGTCCAGCGCGCGGCCCTGGAGCGGGTGGCTCGAGTTGCGGTGCGAACGGATGCATGCCTGCCTCAGAATCCCCGACGCCGATTTCAGAAGCGTCGCCGCCACGTGGAGCGGCGTCGTCTGGCCGTGCTTGCGGCGGCCAGCCTCCGTCATGGATTGGTTGAGCACCGCCGCCGCCTCCGGCTTCAGCGTCTGCTGGATAGCGTTCGAGCCTGCCTTCATATCCTTCTTTCCTCCGACGGAATCTGATTGATTGGCTTAAAATTTGGAAATCTGAGCTAGCACAAAATGGACTTTTGCAGAGCTTTTGATTTGATTGAATTGATTGATGAGTCTGGTTTTCGAACAAAAGGAAAGATAGAACCACCGCCTTCACAAAAACCTCGCCTCCGTTACTTTCTCTCTCCGCCGCTCTTTATCTCTCTATCTTAAAAGGTGAGCTGATGGTATTTATGAGCAGAGGAGGCAGACACAGTGCCTCCATCCATCGTTTAATACATCCAAAGTTAGCAGAGGAGTGGCATAATTTTATTTTTTTTTATTATTTTTTCTGTTAACATAGGAGTGGCATAATTTTATTTTATTTTATTTTTTGTCCTTTGTTTTCTTCTTACCGGTGCCATAATGTTTATATTATATAATAATAACTAATATAAATACAAATAATAAAAATAAATAAATTTATATGTAAATTTATAATACAATATTAATAATAATAATATCCCCTATCTTCTCCCCTGTATATATTAATTAAGAACGTGTTGAGCCTAAGTGGCAGGTTCGCATGCTTCGAGATTCTATGTGGCAAAATTACATGCTTCGTTATTTAGGCTTGTGTGGATTTTAATTTACTTTCAATCCAAAAATAATTAGGTCTGAAACGTATAATTACTTGCGAGTGCGCGAAATGTAGTACGAACGTGGATAAACAACGTAAATAGCGGAAGCAATAAACCGAAGATTTTAAAACTCTTCAGGGAAGCGTCCCACTTCCCCTCAGAGCTCTTTCATTGATAAATCGTTCACACTTGTATAGTTTGGACTTACACGACTCGAACTCCCTTCTAGTCTAGCCACAACTACACACGATCCTATCAACTACTTCTCCGGCCACGTCCCGTGGACTTTACACACTCGAATCCCTCGAGCAAAACCCAGTACTTAATCCCTAAGCACTAAAATAAAGTGTTTGTAAAAGAAAAGAAACAAAACGAGTTCAGTTCTTCAGCAATGTAAGAACGCTGAAAAACTGGACAGAATAAAATAAAAATAATAGAAACTCTCAAACACTCAAATGAAGCTGATGAATGATGAACTTGATTTGCAGCAGATCTCTCTTATATTCAATTGATTGCTTGAGTAGGCTTATATACAACCTCCTTAAGGTAAGGAGTCTTCACAGTTCTTCATTTACCTTTTAGGAGTCAATTTCCTTCTCAATTGATTCCTTTCTGATTTGGACGAAATCCTTCATGTAAGGTAAGTTTCCTTGATGTAGAAATCGTGCATGTGATTTGGAGATCTTCAGAATTGAGCTTCCAATGGAAAAACGCGTTCCAAGAATCTGGTAAGAACATGACTTTCCAAAAATAGCCGATCTTCCAAATCTTCAAAGATCTTGTGGTGAATCTTTCCAAATCCTCCTTAGATCTTCTCATGAACGTCCAGAACTCTTCTTGTATGGAAAGCTCATCCTTTCATAGTCCTTGCCACCTATTCCTTGTCCTACAAGCAAAAGAGAATTAATTATGGCATGTGGCATACATGGTAAGTAAATATATAGGATATATATTATGTAATCCTTCTCCTAAAGGATTAGGATTCCATAATACATACTACAATAAATATATACCATATATTATTAATAATAAATATTAGGAACTTAATTAAATCATAAGTATATAAATAGAAAAACTTCCCTTTAATTTATTTTGCTTGCTTAACAAGAAATCTTCTAGAAAACACTTAGGTTTGTCGGACATGATGCCAAACCAATGTTCTAACAATCTCCCCCTTTGGCATTCAGTTCGAAAACCGTGTTTCTTGAAGATAACCTACAAAATAAACTCAAAACAGCAAAGCAATTATCTATGTTCGAACATCAGGAAGTAAACTACTCAAACACCTGCAATGTAAGAACATCAGAACAGTTCCTATCAAAATAACTATGAGGACTATGATCAGAGCAATCAAAAGACATCAAACTATCAGAACCTAAGTCAAATAGAGTGACCAATGCATCTCCCCCTGTCAGAATAGACAAAACAATCAAACTGCAAAACATACATGTTTTTACATCATGTAGAACCATGTCAAAAAAAGCAACCACAAATAATCAGAAGCAAACAACTAGAATATAATCCTGAACATCTTCAGAAACATCCTATTTCTCCCCCTTTTTAGACTGAAATGCCAAAGGCAAATCTCCCCCTGAGTAAGAACATCAAATGAGAAAAATAAAGATGACCGAAGACAAAAGACGTTGCTTGAACTGATCTCTAATAGCTGATATGTTGTCCATCTCTTCTCCAGGCTTTTGCCATCAGCCAAAGTGTTTCAGAAGCACATTAGAAAATGATGCAGGAACACAAATGGTTAAACGAATAATTCATGGAGAAAGACAAAGGAAAATGGGGTTCTCAGGTTCCGACAATGAAGATATATAGTGAGGACATAATGGATGAAAAATGTCAGGATATAATGGGTAAGGTTTAAAAATCAAGGGAAAGGTTGGATACTATGCAGTAAGAACATTCCCATCAAAACTGAACACACAAACCCATTAACACACTAACACATGTGTCCAACTAATTCAAAATTAGGAAGAATAAGATTTTATCATCCAAAAATAAATTCCCTCACAAATTTTTAATGCCCAAGTAATTCAATCAAAGAAGGAAATCTTATGCAATATATGCCTAGTATGAAAAAAAAATAAAAAATAAAAAAAAATAAAATCGCACACAAAATTCACTAGATCCAAAAAATCTTTTCCTTATCAACTTAAACAAGATTGATGATAACAATCAGAGATCAACTTTGAGATTCAAACTTC